GATTGTTGTTGTTGTTGTTGTTTCGGTTTTGGCTGTTTCGACCGTGTGTTTTTTGTCTGCGGCCACGGCCAGCCTACAGACAGCGTGGTTCCCAGCGATCTTTAGGGCACCTTTTCTAGCCCCCTCCCCCTCGCGGGGGCAGGCAACGCATCCCTGAACAGGGCTGCCCGGTTATCCCAGACGGCTGCCGGACTCCACTATGGGCCACGACTTTTTGTTAGTGAGAGAACGACCCGAATTAGCCTGGGACCTTGGTGGTGAGGTGATGATGTGATGGAGTGAAGTAGGAGAGATCATATACACTACCTAACGCTATGGGACTTAGAACTTGAGTGGACAAGCGGACACAGTCACCAGTCAGAGACAAAGTGAGGGCACCACACAAAGTCAGGCACCGTAACACCTAGCTATTAGTAGAGAGTGGCAGAGACTGACGGACAGACAATCACAGCAGGCATCGTGGGTGTCGTTTAGCTATTAACAGACAGACTAGCATATAAAGGGCAGGCAGCAAGCGCAGCGTACGACGCGGAACTTCAACAAACAAAAGGAAGAAACGAAGCAAGCGCACTTACCTGAGGGGAAACTTACCTGGTGGCCGCCTGCGATGGTCCAGGCAGAGCCTCGTCTCCACGATGTCGACGCGAAGATCCATCCGGCCAACGCAGACCACAATACCGCGCGTGCAGGTGCACGCACGGATACCCTCACCTGGTTTAGCCCGCCGGTCGAGACGGTTGCCCGGGGTGTGGCCGCTGAGCAGAGCCCAGCTACGTGGAGCCACAGGTGAGAGCTAGGTGCCAGCAAATGGACGCTAGGCGTAGTCTCACCTGCAAGCAAGTGAGCGACTACTACGACCATCACGTGGACCCACCGCTGACACCCCTACACCGCTCAGTGTCACACACACACACGCACACGACAAGTTGAAATCCGGCAGGGACTAGAACAGGTGTAGATGATAATCCACAATTAGTTGGAAGCTAAACCCCATAAACTGTGGGGAGGGAATGTCAAATAAAACGAAGAACTATGTATACATGGGGATAACAGTGGATGCGTTGTGAAACCAAGTCAGTCAGGACATATGGCGTTGATTTTTGCGGCGTATTTCCCTGTCGTGTTGGCAATCATGACGTCGAAGTTTCGTCAATTCACCGTAGCAATTGGAACTTGAATAAGAGCTCATCGACGTCTTGTCGATAGTGGAGACGATAAACGTTTAAGGCTGTCAGGCGCTATTCGTACGTCAAATATTTGAGTTCAGGGACAAGCTATCTAGCACGTCCTTGCACACCACCTTCTAGATGAGCTATGCCCTCCCGAAGTAACGGACGCCAAGCCTGTACCATTTGTGTCCACACAAATGTTCCCCCTACCTCACCGAAGATATCCGTATCCACGTCATAGAAGTTGACGTTGTCTGCACTGCGATGTTACGCTCACATCGCCTTTTCTGAATTCTTCACGCACATGTTGATCGCAACTAAGTATGCGGTTATTATTCTAATCAACCTCATCTCTTCACTGATCAGGCTGATCACATCCCTGCAGATCATATATACGCCTTCCACACATATTACCAATTCCCTAACTGCAAACCACCTACCAGACTCCACTGGGGATGAGGGAGATCTCGCCCCGTCGAGAGTAATCCGACGGTCACATCAAGGCTGAGGCATGCAGTCTGACCCTGGGTCCAGAGAAGGGGGCGTGTTACACCGCCAGTTTGCACAACGTCAAGAAACAACTGTTTGCCAGTCCTAATAATCAATGCAGAGCTCATTTTTCCGTTTAAAGTGAAAACATTAAGAGACGGGGCCGACTTTGACAGACATCATCCTCGGTGGCTTGCTCGAGTCAGGCGGTCTGGGAATGAGGAGACTGCGTGCAGTGGCTGAGATAACTTGACGGACCTGTTTACGGTGTGGGAAAAATAGGGAGCAATAAAACCAAATGTGACAACACATTCAAATATTAAATAAAAATTGGTGCACTGTCTCGGTGCATTTATCGCGCTTTTTGTTTTAGTACTTATCGACCTTAAGGGGGTACAGATCATTAAATCGAGACGTCAGACGAGAGGTCGGTTGACAGGAGGTTGATGTCAGCACCCATAACTCCGATGCTGCCCGGATGGCTGACTGGTTGCCCTCTCACCAACTGACGCAGAATAAGCTCCGATGACCCTGTTGATGCATCAAATTCACGCCCACTCGGGCATCTTGCTGCAGGACCTCCGGATCACTGCAGTCGCAGGCGGGGGAAGTGCCAAAACCGCAGCCCGGTGGATCAAAGCCTATCGCAGTAAACCTCAAGGAGGGAGGGTGGACGGACATACCTTTTCAGCCAGTGGACTGGGGGAGGGGCGGGCAGCTCGCTGGCATTTCTGCCGTGCATAGTTTGCACACATGTGCTCATGGCCTGGGGGGCTGACGCGCTATCGCTCACACGGCACCGTCGTGCAGCGTTATCTCCGCGACATTTGCCCCTGAAACAAACCACGCAATGGATGCGCTGCATAAACACCGGGATCTAGATCGGAGTCTGGCAGGCCTAATTGACGATGCTCACCCATAGCACATGCCAACATTCGGTGTGTGGCGGCACGTCCAGTTCGTAAAAACACACAACACCAAACCCCATGGAAGAAAAGCATTTATGTTAAGACGTCGTAATCAGTGATGACAGAGACAAGGGGGGGGAAGCGGGAAATAGGAGCCTGGAGCAGATAGCGGATCCCGGTGGAAAGGACCTCCTCGTAGGCGCCAAACATGTGATCTATGTGGTGATCCCTGAGGCCAATTGGGAAGGAGATGCGTGGTTGCTGAAACTGCTGACGAAATGCCGAAGTAGTCGGCCACAGACGAGCAGTCCTCGGTTTCCACCAATTCGATTGGGCTTAAGCATGCACTTTCTTCAATGATTCCGATAGGAGATTGCAAAATGCCAGCACAAATATCTATGCACTATCTGGTACAGTATAAATGCGGATATATGTGAAATTTTTTTCCGAATGACAGGAGACCTCGACCTGTAGCATTGTTTAAATTTGGATGTAATATCAATGTACACATGCCCGACCGTAAGAGGACTCCGTGTTTTGTCATACTCCTGTGGCATCCGCTTCAATGCCCCCCCTCCCCTCCTTTGCGGCGCCTCGTTGTCAGCCGATGACCGCGACAACAGGCACTCCGCTGACGCACGGTCTTCCCTCTGGTCTGTTCTGGGCCGCCTCTTGCTCGCCTTCAACGGATCACGTGTGCGCACGCAGTCTCTCACCGCCACACTCGCTTCCAACCTCCGCGATTTTTAACCCTGCGCGCCCTTCTGAGCATGCACCCCCGACTCCGTCCAATCACATGTCTCGCACTCACCTACACATTCCCTCATGATGTGCTGACGCCCACGCAATAAACCTCACATCACGACTTCCGCTCACCCGAGCGGACGCTTTCCTCTGACCACAAGCAAACAGCCAACTCGCGGCAATACGCCCTGTGTACAGAATAAGCCAGTTCTCACTACCTCTTCACTTCTGACATTAGACAGAACGAACTTATTGTGCGCGCTGGCTTATGCCCTCCAACGTAAGTAAGTACAACTTTGTTCAACACGGCAACTGCAGAGACTCCAAGCCCAAGTCGGCCATGTATATATTGCAGCTCATTAGGCAAGTCTTTATGGGCTTTGAGGCGGAGAAGTTCAAAAGGGCTTGCGGTCGCCCAAACCTTTTTCTTCTTCTTCTCCTTCTTCTTCTTCTTCTTCTTCTTCTTCTTCTTCTTCTTCTTCTTCTTCTTCTTCTTCTTCTTCTTCTTCTTCTTCTCCTCCTTCATCTTCTTCTTCTTCTTTTTTTTCTTATTCTTCTTCTTCTTCTTTTACGAGAGCATGTTAGCGTTGACGATCAGAAAGTGGAGTGAGTCGAAGAAGCTCTGTGTAAGGAGCATCAGTGGGAGGGTCGCATAAGAAAGTTTAAACGTCTGAGGAAATGTTGGGTTGCGGGAAGAGCCTCAGTTAGACTGAATTGTCTACACAGAGTAAATGGTGGCCGCGATACGGAAAAAAGTAGAGTTCTGAAGCTTGCTGTCAACATTCTAGAAGGGACACAGTGACTCTACGGAGAGAAATAGCAGCATCTGTGTATCCCATCGTTAGGGGTCCAATCAGAGATAGGATATAGAACACAGAAGGTCAGAAGCTAAATGTTAGAAGGGTGGACGTCGGAGGTCACCACTGGTGCGATTGGAGGCTGACTCGAAAGTTCACAATGGTATGGTCGACAGGACAAATGTTCCCTTATCAGAAGTCATGGAAGACGAATAGGGTTGGACAATCTTTACTGCTGAGGAGGTGCGTACTGAAGGCCCTGCATGCAGTCGCCGCGAGCTGTCAGTCCGGGCAAGTTGATTGTGTCGGTGTCCGCCGTTGAGGTTGTTACCCCCGCCCCCCCCCTCACAGGGCGTGTGTGCCCCTTTCGCTCTGTCCCAGTTAGCATCCACCAGCCAATCGGGGAATAGGCAGTGTTGATGGAATTCGAGCTCTCGCGCGGAAACCATCTTCGCGGCCGACGAGGGCGGGGACGATTTAGGTCACGGTGACATGCGGGTCAAATGCAGTCACACAGGCGGCATTGCCAGACCACGCATCAAACAAAGTGCTCCATATAAGGAGAGCTGTGCAAATCGCTTCCCAGTCTCTGAAGGTGGGGTAGACGAAGTACCGTTAGACCTATAATAAACCCCCCTCCCTGTCCATGCTGATCTGCATGACACCTTCCGAGGTGGCGTTGAGAGCGCAGTCGTCGGCGAAGAGAAATACGCGATTGACAGTACATCAACCTAGGACTGAGTAGGTGGCCGTCCGTCCTGTAGGCGATACGGATCCCAGTGCGTTCGTCACGGTAGGCGTCCATCAGCATGGCAGAGAACATGAGACTGAAGAGAGTAGGTGCGAGAACGCAGCCCTGATTCACACTGTTGGTCACAGTGAATGCCTCTGATACATCTCCATTGTCCGTGACTGGCGTCATCATGCCATCTTGGAGGTGATACACCACCTGAGAGAATCGCTCGGGACAGACGAGTTTCTGCTTAATTTTCCACCGTCTGTCACGGTTCACCATGTCGAAATCTTTGGTCGGATCCACGAGGGCAGAGTAGAAGTGGGTCGGCATCTCCTGACACGTTTCCTGCTGTTGAGGGGCGGCGAAGATCATGTCGGTGGTTCTACGATGACGGCGGAAGCCAAACTCTGCCTTCTTTTGAAGGTGGGTCGTTTCTTCGAACCAGTGTAACCTTCGTGGATGCAGAGTGGGTGGTTCGTGCTTACAAGGACTCGAATACGCAGTTCGTGGCTATCCATCATCAGATAGGTCTGGAACGGTATCTGACATACTCACACGGCCATCGCATCGTGTCTCGAAGACGGTGATGATGATCAACTAGGATCACACGTGAACAAGAAGGACCCTGAAACAATTAATCATCGGCGAGGTGGAGGCATCGTCTCCAGTCAAGTTCCGAAATTTCACAAGTTGGCGCAATTAATGGTCCACTTAATCACCTGTAATGTGGTAGTTATGTGTCGAAGGTAGCTCGAATGTTAGTCAGTCGATGCGGTAGGAGACCTAACTAATGAAGGGTAATGACCTTACATACGACAGCAGAGTGTCGCAGAGGCGGTGACGTGCGCGTGATTTAGTTTATAGTAGTGGTAGACTTACAATGCATCTACCCCACTCCCTCAACTCATCCACAACCGCCTGGGCCCCTGGTAAGTTGTGGCTATGCAGCCCCACCTGATGCACACAATACTCTTCGGGTTGGGGTTACGGGTTAGGGCAGCTGAATCTCAACCGTTCAGAGTATTTCAATTTCCAATAGCTTCTCTTTTGCATAAATTACTTGACCTCTTCGACAGCGGATTCGGTGGCCACACCTGTAAAAACCCCTATTACCACCGGTCTCGTATTACAAATGGCTGGAGTTTGTTTACTTCAGGTGGGGCAACATAACCACACCTGATCGGGCCCATTTTCATGACAAAATCAAGAAGACCGAAGGTGGGAGAGGGCACAGTTGGTTTGGCAGAATTTGAACGATTCATATTGACCCAACTGTGAAAATTTCGACGCCTCGGTGGGATTCGAACCCACGCGTCGTCCGGCGGGGCCTCGTAGTTCAAGTGGTTAGAGTGTTGGCGCAAGATATTTCGTACTTCTGGCGGGACACAATTAAATGGTAATAAAAGTAATTATGATAATGATAATAATACAAATTCATAGATATCTAGGCAGATTTTGAAACATTCATACTGACCCAACCGTGAAAATCTCGCCGCCTAGGTGGGATTCGAACCCACGCTGTAAGGGGAAGGCTTTAGTACAGCCAACGCTCTAACTACTTGAGGTACTAGGCGCCGCCGGACGACACGTGGTTCGAATCCCACCGAGGTGCCGAGTTTTTCACAGTTGGGTCAATATGAATTATTCAAAATCTGCCAAAATATCTATGAATTACGTGAGCCTGGTAGTCATCTGGTGGATTCTAGGTGAGTTACTTAGGAAATCCTGCTTGGGCAGTCTACATACTGTATCAGATTTGGTGGATTCCAGACGTTGCAGTAAGTTGGGCGGGTAATTTGATCCAAATGTGATTAAACTCGCGTCGTCCGGTGGGGCTTCGTAGCTCAAGTGGTTAGAGCGTTGGCAGTACTGAAGTATTCCCCTTATTGCGTGGGTTCGAATCACACCGAGGCGCCGAGTTTTTCACAGTTGGGTCTGTATGAATACCATTAATAATGATAATTATAATAATGGCTAAGAGATGGAGCATGCATTTTTTATATTGCCCTTTGTCACTTAACCGCACAATGGAATGGTTGTACGCAGAATTACGAACATGGAAATGAAGGAAGTGTTGATTGCTGTGGAAACAGAAGACTGACACAGAGAATTGGTCGAGCAGCCCTTACTGTGACAGGGGACTGCAGATGCGACTCAGAAGACAGTGGCGACAATTGTTTCAGCAAGGCGAGGACCAACCTTTGGAGGCGCACCGAGGGCGGTGTGCGCATGCGTGCTTGCCTGCACACATGACCTTTGTCCGCCTAGAAGCCCGATCAGTGAATGACACAACGCCGATTGGCGTCAAGCTGTCTCCACGACGTGGCCTTGTCACGTGCGTTGCAAGCAGAATCCAATTGGCGGGAGGTGTTAGTTAGGCTGCCAGAGGGGACGTCATGAGAGAATAACCAGACTGGCGACCAGGAGAACGGGCTGCCACAGGCACACAAACTCGCCTCAACCGCTGACTGTCCTACCACGCAACATCCCCGCAGCCGCCACCGTCACCGTCTCAGGACATGTTAGTTATCAGTTAAACGGTCTTCTTACTCAATGCAGGTATGGGTTGGACGAATGGCATTAAATAGAAGCAACTGGTTGAGCGCAAGCCAGATGTCAGGACTGCCCCAAATCCACAAATCCCACCTTTCGCCTCGACCGATCGTAGCCCTAGGCGGCAGCCCAGTCAGCCGGGATGACTCGCAAACCACATCTTCTTTGAGGTGCATCTGCGACGTCAGTAAAATCGGCATCTCAACTCCTCAACAATTCCCGCGAGCAAAAGTGGAGCTTCACGAGGCGATACCTTTCGTCGACGTGACACTGTTCTTTGCACCCATCTCACCGGATTTCGTGTACAAGGCTATGCGGTGCGTCTTGCATTGCAGTATGGTAAATCACGGGCATGTCTTTACTGATATTGTCATCCATATATTTTCTGCCCCACAGAAGCAGGTGAGGGAGTTAATACATTCAGAGGTTGTCTGGCCTGGCAGTTTGTCCTTGTCCTCTCCGTCTATGATGGGACTAGTAGAGAAGAGTACAGGGGCGTCGACTGCCGGGAAGGTGTGTGATATAGATTGAGTTAGGCGCCTTCTTAAAAGTTCACTTGGCGCGTCCCCTTGAAACGGCACCCTGAGGAAAAGCTTATTTTTGTCTGCCGTCAGCCTCGAGGGCTTTGGTAGTCTTTCGGTCACGTACCTAGCAATGAATACATCGAGGTACTCGTTCTGGCGAATGCGAATTTCAACAATCTTAAGTTCCACCTCAATGCTATCAGCTGAGCAGATCCTCCTTACTCTTTGTGTCAAGCAGCGCCTTATGTTTAATGGAACGAACCTCCTATAATTCTTGTTATGTCCGGACCACGTCTTCTTACGATAGACGCGACGTCGAATACTACCTGCAGGCCTTCTGCTCAAAAGCACATACAGAAAGAGGAGCGATCTGGACTGTTTTCCTTCAAGCGTGAATATGATTGATGGGTGTGCTTGATTGATTTCGTTCCGTGGGACGCAAAGGTCGTTTTGTTTAGGTGCAATCGCGAATCTATCATGCACATAGCGTTCATAATATCTCAGACCATCGATCTGGCGACGAAATTCGAAAGCTTCTAACTTGCCCATGAACATATTCGCCAAAAGCTACCCCGTCGATTTGTCTATACGGATTGTTGTCAAATAGAAGCCGTACTTTGAAGGTACATCCCAGCAGCAATTCTTTGAGAGCATTTACCGGCATTCCTATATCATGATTATTGGAGGCAAGGGCTTCACAGAGGTAGTTGACGATTTCTGTGACCGGTACGTTCGTACAAAGAGACGAGACGTCCAGCGAAATCATAATCTTTCGGTTAAAGTCGAGATTTTTCATGCTGTAAACGAATTCATAGGTATACCGAAAGCTACAGTACCTGTGCTAACTCATGTGATGCTAGCCGGTATTTTATGGGCTTTAGTTTCTCCGCTAGCCACATCGCTATAGCATGGCGCGGCGACTTTCTCATGTGTAGAATCGGTGTACCATGTATGTGGATCTTTGTCAAGCCATATAACTGAGGTATATGTGTGCCGACATGCGGGAGACGCTCTAGGTCGTATTCGCTAATGAAACCATTCGTTTGAAGTCTTTTCAAACAGTCGGTCGGCAGAGTTTCAACCTCATCTGTTCGATACTTTTGGTTTTCTGCCTTCCTGAAAAGTTCCCGGTCCGACAGGATTGACTGGATTTTACAATTTAGTCGGCTCTGTCCATCAAAACAACACCAGTTTCCTTATCTTTGCCCTGTCAGAGTTGCTTTAACTCCTCAATATGTGACTTCGTCAGCATGCCTCGATATTTCGGGACAGGAATCGCTCACGCCTGTGTGATGCATGTTATTTCACACAACCCGATGCTTTACCAGATCGCGTCAGCGATCGCAAAGACGGACAGTTTGCAGCTTTGTCCACCACTGCGCCCGATCCCACCTCCGGTCATCTGGACATTGTCTTTCCATCGGAGCCCTGTGGGTGTGGGAGGGAGGGAGGGAGTGGGGTAGATGTTGCGCAGGTCTGCCTCGCAATAAACGGATTCATTAACATGAACATATTCGCCAAAAGCGGACGAAGGGGCGGGCCTATAGCTACTTAGTCGATTTGTCTATACGGATTGTAGTCAAATAGAAGCTGTACCTTTAAGGTACATCTCAGTGGCAATTCTTTGAGAGCATCCACCGGCAGTCCTATATCATGATGATTGGAGGCAATGGATTCACAGAAGTAGTCGACGACGGCGAGTTTCTCATGTCTAGAGCCGGTGTACCATTTATGTGGATCTTGGGCAAGCCATATAACTGAGGTATATGTGTGTCGACGGGTCGGAGACGCTCTAGGTCGTATTCACCTCGATCCACCAGCACATACACCACACAGGAACTCACTCCACATCGCCCGACACACGGACGGGACATGCAGCGCTCATGCATGCGTGAGGCATGTTCTTTCACACAACCCGATGCTTTACCAGATCGCGTCAGCGAACGCATAGACGGACTGTATGCAGCCTTGTCCACCATTGCACCCGATCCCACCTCCGCTCATCTGGACATTGTCTTTCCAGTGGAGCCAGTTGGTTGTGCGAGGGAGGGAGGGAGTGGGGTAGATGTTGCGCAGGTCTGCCTCACAATAAACGGATTCACGCGAACCCCGCCAGTGCTGCCTTCAGTCTGTGCGGCATACGGTGCAGTTCGCCGATGGCTGCAATTTCCTTAACCAGTCCGCAGGTCGCCCGAGACTCTGAAACTACTGCTCGGCCTATATGAGCCAAAAAGTGTCTCCGACGATGATCCACAAACAGAACTATTGTCAATGACTGATGGGACTGGCGGTGGA